ATATATATATGTATGTATGTATGTATGTATGTATGTATATACTAAAGTAAATTCCCCTGTACACAGTGCAGATGTGAATACGGCATCTCGCATATTTAGCACAGTTAAGTTCAGTCTTTCTTGCCTGTGTCGGCAAATTTATACGACACGAATACGCAACATTTGGAAGCGGATATTAGAACTTCAAATATCTCTCCTCTGCCTACGATATCGTTTACAAATTCATCATACCTGAGACCGCGCAATATCATCGACAGCGACAAATACGGCATGCGCAAGAGGGTCGGACTCTGAGTCCCGCCCTGTTCCCACCACAGTATCCGTAACAGGATCAACTATCACGCACCCGGCACTCCTACATCTCAGCGGCCGCGATGGCCTCAGAACTGTATTCTTGTGCGTGGTACTACTCACAAATGCGTTCGATGTTATACTGGTTTTAGTGTGCGGAGAGGAGCTTGCTGTACCACTCGCATGTGTGATGGGCTCTGAATGATTTTCCTGCTCTGTCCGCCTGACGGCCCCACAATCTGTATCACTCTGTTTCGAATCCTCTACAACGGTACTATCTTGTAAATTTTCTTCGTCGCAAGCGCTCTCGACGGACTCAAATGCGACCTCACGATGTTCGAGAGTTTCGGACGATGCTGCTGTAAGAGCTTGTGTCATGTTACGTCGCATTATTTCGAAATCCGACAGTGCAAAACGCAGACCGAGTGATGCAGCAACCCTGTGGATACGTATATAAAAGTTGGGAGAGTAAATGCTTTGAAATATGAGCAGTCGAGTCACGTTGGGATTGTCAGAGTGAGGCGTAGTGAATGATTGGATGCCACTACTGGATTCGAAGTGCTACGGTAGAATACTGTATATATATAATAGTATATATATATATATGTATATATATATTTTAATAGTATATATATATATATATATATATAAGTGTATATATTCGTGTACACTTGTATTGGAAATTCAGCGGAATGCACTTTAATTCTACAGCATTATTGGTATTTTCCATGTCTGTCGTGGAAACAATTGAGACTGGCGCCGGAGGTGGTGTTTGTAAGCAAAGATTCGACCAATTGAAGACGCAATGTCAATATCGTTTTTTACTAAAGGCCAGAAGGTGTTTTGCACACAATACTGAAAGAAGCGCAGCATCTACAGTGCAGCTTGCAAAATAAAAAGCACGCACATACACACACATATGTCTATATATATATATATATATGTGTGTGTGTGTGTGTGTGTGTGTGTGTAGTACGTACGTACG